AAAAAAAAAAAAAAAAAAAAGACTATTTTAGCTTTTCCATGTTAACACCTTGAATGTCATTTGCACATTTCATATCACGCGGTTTGAAAGCTTTTCTGTTTCTCTCCATGTGCAAATGTATCTCTATCACAGCAGTATAATTGGATCTTTTTATTTATTTTTATAGAAATGAGGTCTCACTATGTTACCCAGGCTGGTCTTCAACTCCTGGGCTCAAGCAATCTTCTTGCCTTGGTTTCCCAAAGTGCTGGGATTACAGGTGTGAGCTACCATGCCCAGTCACCAGAGACCTTCTGAAATTGCTTCTAGAGAAAGTTGCAAGAAACGCTTTACATGCTTAAGTCTCTGAAGTGATTTTTAAAAATAATCCAAGACGTACAATCTTTGTATCAGATGGAATGAAAATGGTAAACAGTACATATATTTAAGGCAAAATTCTAATTTCATGACTGGAATCATTATTATGAGTGTAGCATGAATTCACTATTTCTAGTTGGCTAGAATTTCTTTCTAGTTCGAACACTAAAGTCATTCAGACAAAACAAATATGAGATCATTTATGTGAAACTGCTTTGTAAACTAAAAAAGGCAGGAAAAATTATAGCATTAAGAACAGAGTTAAAAATACTTCACAGCACTTGTGATCAAAATACTAAAAATAAGCACTTGTTAAATTGGGGATGAAGACAGGCAGAAGGAGAGGAAAAGAACAATTTCACTGGATAGTTCAGAAGATAATTACCCATTTAGATTAACTCACTGAGGAGTTAAAGAACCTGAGCATAGTGAAGAGAAATGGATAACTATAATATCTAGAAGAATGGTCAGAAGTGCCCACTCTATGATGGGATGTAATAATACATGTACTGGATAATAAAAGTTTTCACGCATATATTTTTTCATCAAGTTCATTAAGCAATTTTCTCTATTTAGATTTACTGTTAGAATTACTACAAGTTACACAGTTCTGCAATTTTCCTTTTAAGTATTAATAATTAACACTCTGGGGCAACCCGCTCGGGTTGCCTCCTGCTCTGGGAGCTTTTCTGCCTTCTCAATAAATCCTGCTTTCAAAAAAAAATGACACTCTGAACATAGTTATCAACTCTGAATCTTGATGCAGAAACCAATGACAATTTCTGTGATTCAAAAACTTAATTAAATGAAAAAATTACCCAGGGGATATTTAGAATTGAACATCTGAACACATTTTTAAAAATCATTCAATTCTACATGGATGTTGAAAGGCTTGGTAATGCATCAACATAAATCCCTTTTTGGTGCAGGGACAAAAGGTTTTTCCCTGTAGACTAATCAAAACACCTTCCAATATAACTGCATCAAATTTGAAGAAAGTTGATTACCTTCCTTTTCTCAAAACCAAATTGTCTAGAGTGTTTATTCTGCCAGAGCTACATATACTTTCCTTCTCCTTTCAATACTGCAAGTCTTCCACTAAAATCTGCATGACAGGAACCATTGCAGCACCTTTTCACGGCAGGATGTTTCTTTTTTAGGCCTTATTAGATATGAGCCACAGAAACTTATAGAAATAATACTTTGATAATATCAAGAGCAGAAGTGTTCTTTTATATATAATATGATCTTTCCTAAAAGAATGACTCAGTGTATAAAATACACTTAAAAGCAAATCTGCATTCATGTGTGCAGTTACCATACCTTTGCTTTAGAGGACAATCCTGGAGCTCTGGTCTTTTTTGCATCAGGCTTGGGTTCTGTACTGCTGGACACAGAATCTTCAACAGGTGCTTTGAGAAAAAAAGTGTGTAATATAAATATAACTCACTAATACCTCTTTATTCTGGACAGGTTTAATATCTAATGATGACAAGAAAGTTGTAATCTTAAATGTATCAATTTTTATAAGATGTTTGAGGTTAGACTTTTTTTCTAATCTTTTTTTCTCTCCAAATTCCTCCTTAAGCATAACCTTAAGAAATTAAGTCAGGAAATCCACATCTTTACTGCTTAAACTGCAGTTTTACAACCATTTTTTCCCCCTTTTTTTGAGTTGGAGTCTCACTCTGTCTCCCAGGCTGGAGTGCAATAGCATGCTAGTGGCCACCTCAGCCTCGACCAGCTGGGCTCAGGTGATCCTTCTGCCTCAGCCTTCCAAGTAGCCGGAACTACAGGCACGCACTACCATGCCCAGCTAATTTTTTGATTTATTGTAGAGAAAAGGCCTCGCCATGTTGCCCAGGCTGGTCTTGAACCCGCGGACTCAGGCAATCCTCTTGCCTCAGCCTCCCAAAGCACTAGGATTATAGGCTTGAGCTACTGCGCCCGGCCTTTACAACTATTTCCTAGACAGCTATGAAAAATTCTCTTTTTGACAAATTCTTATTTTCTTTCTTTTCTTTTTTTTTTTTTTTTGTGTTGGAGCCTCACTCTGTTGCCCAGGCTGGAGCAGCAGCACACTCACGGCTACCACAGCCTCGATATGCTGGGCTCAGATGATCCTTCTGCCTCAGCCTTCCAAGTAGCTGGAACTACAGGCATGCACCACCATGTTCAGCTAATTTTTCTTGATTTATTGTAGAGACGAGGTCTCACCAAGTTGCAAGGACTCCTGGGCTCAGGCAATCCTCTCGCCTCAGTCTCCCAAAGTGCTGGGATTACAGGCATGAGTCACCGCACTCAGCCCCAATTCCTCTTTTAACTGTAATATATCCAATAGCAAAAAATGGTTGTGGAAACTTTAAAAATAAGATGGCACACTTCCAGAAAGAAGTTCAATGTGCTATCCAAAAAGACTTTTTGGAACTGGAAGTCAAATTTAATCAACTCTGTACCTTTAGCATAGCTCCTGGCACAAGACAGGTACTGGACAAATGTTTGTGAAAGGAGGGTAAGGAGAAAGGGAAGGAAGGAGGGTTTAAGATCTAGAATGTGGATATGTGACTAAAGAAAAGAAGACTGAACAGATACATGAAAAAATGCTCAGCCTCACTAATCAGCAAAGAAATACAAATTAAAACCACACTGAGGTGCCACGTAACTCCAATCAAAATGGCTGTCATCAGTAACTCAAAAAAACAACAGATGCTGGAAAGGATGCAGCAAAAAGGAAACACTCACTTCTACACTGTTGGTGGGAGTGTAAACTGGTACAGCCTCTGTGGAAAACAGTGTGGCATTTCCTAAAAGATCTAAAAATCGACCTCCCATATGACCCCACAATCCCTCTACTGGGAATACATCCAAAGGAACTCAAATTACTCTATGAAAAAGATACCTGTACATGCATGTCTATTGTAGTATTATTTACAATAGCGAAAATGTGGAACAAACGGTGCTGCCCATCACAAGAGGACTGGATAAAAACAATGTGGTACACATACATGACGGAATATTACACAGCCATGAAAAAGGACAAAATTATGAACTTTGCAACTGGGATAGATTTAGAGGCTATAATACTGAGTGATCCATCACAGAAACAAAGAACCAAGTGTCACATGTTCTCACTCATAAGCGGACCTTGAATAACTATTGTAATACTATAAGAAAGGGACTGGCAGTAGTGGGAAACTGCCAGGGAAGGGCAGAGGTGGGATTGGCAGTAATAGGAAATTGCCACGGGGGGGGGCACACCTCATTAACAAGGATACCTGCATAATGAACATTTGTATACCTAACCCTGAATTGTACCCCACATCTTTAAAATAAAAATTAAAAAAAAATTAAGTAAATAAAAAGAAAAGAGGGCTGGATGTCTATTTAGATTTCCCTGGGGCTATTTCCTTCCTTTTTAACCCTCTCAATACAGTTACCTGATGCAGACTGGAATTTGGCTGAAGTGGACCCTCCCACTGCTTTAGAAGATGCTTTATTGGGTGCAGCAGGCTTGGCTGGCATGTTAGCTTTGGCTTTCTCTAGCATGGCCAGTACCTGATCTTTAGAAGTTGGCTAGAGAGACAATATAACATAAAAAGTGAGAGGTCACATAAGTAATACACTCATATTAAGCTTATGAAGGTATCTCCTGTCAAAAAATTGAGCTCCTAGTTTTGAAATATCAATGAAGCACACAGTATAAGAGAAGTAACACACATTATGAAGTCACACTAAACTAGCTATCATTCTAGAAGGTCACAGTTTTCACCCCTGAGGATTCATCAGATTCTTAGAAGTTCTACACTGCTTATTTTATTTTTGCTCTCTTTAGGATTTCAAATGTAGACTCATAGGAAGTAATAGGTTTCTCGCTCACATAAATTCATATTCAATATTTTTCTTTTTTTTTTTTGAGACAAGGATTATCTCTGTCACCCAGGCTGGAGTACAGTGGCAAGATTACACTCACTGTAGCTTCAAAGTCCTAGACTCAAGTGATCCTCCCACTTCGGCCTCTCATGTAGCTGGGACTACAGACATGCATCACCATGCTGGGCTGGCGAATTTTTAAAATTTTTTGTAGAGACAAGGTCTAACTATTTTATACAGGCTGGTCTTGAAATCCTGGACTCAAATGATCTTCCCACCTCAGCATGAGCCACTGTGCCTGGCCATCTTCAATAATTTTCTAATGGTAGCAGCAGCAACAAGAAGTAATACCTTTAGTTTCCCAGTTGCCTTGGCCATTTTTTCATATCCTAAATGCATCATGAAGAATGGCAAAGCATCTTGGGCCTTCTTTCGCACATCTCCATTTCGATCTTCTAGGCAGGAGTAGAGCTGAGGAACGCAAAGGATAAGGTCTGTGGGAGTGGAACGAAGAGTAGGTAGTTTCTCAGCCAGCCAGCCCAGAAGCTGCCAAAAGAAAAAAAGAACAGTTACATACTTCACATGAAAATCGTTATTATTTGGGATCTCAGACTCACTGATTTCATTAGTCTCAAACACTGAATTAGCTCTTACACCACAACTTTACAATATGAAATCGATACTTTTCATTGCTCAAAAACTGTGCTATACTTAAATAATATATGTAATAATACAATCATCTCTAAGATAAGGACATGGTTCTTTGGACCATATCTAGGCACTAAATTATAAAGCTTTAATAGTTCTTAATACATTTTAAAGATGAAAAACTCATTTATCTCCCTTTTTTAAGTTCTAAGAAATATTTACTTCGCTAGAGAAGACCTAAAACATTCATTTGATCATAAGACAAATTTTAGCAAAAGTTCCAATTTGTGTATTACATTGAATTTTTTCTCTATGCCCCTAAAATAATTCATATCTGTATTTCTTTTTTTTTTTTTGAGTTGGAGTCTCATTCGGTCGCCCAGACTGGAGTACAGTGGCCGCTCCCGGCCACTGCTGCCTCGCCTGCTGGGCTCTGGCAATCCTTCTGCCTCAGCCTTCCGAGTAGCCTGAATTACAGGCGTGTGCGACCATGCCCGGCTGATTTTTTGTAGAGACGAGGTCTCGTCAAGTTGCCCAGGCGAGTCTCAAACCCGCGGGCTCAGGCAATCCACTCACCTCAGCCTCCCAAAGGCGTGGGATTACAGGCTGAGCCACTGAGCCTGGTTCATATATCTGTATTTTTCTTTTCTTTTCTTTTTGAGTTGGAGTTTCACTCTGTTGCCCAGAATGGAGTGCAGTGGCCACTCCCGGCCACCGCAGCCTTGACCTGCTGGGCTCTGGCGATCCTTTCGCCTCAGCCTTACAAGTCACTGGAACTACAGGCGTGCACTACAACGCCTAGCTAATTTTTGATTTATTGTAGAGATGAGGTCTCACCAAGTTGCCCAGGTGGATCTCGAACTCGTGGGCTCAGGCAATCCACTCACCTCAGCCTCCCAAAGGCGCGGGATTATAGGCTGAGTCACCGAGCCTGGCTATATCTGTATTTCTTAATTTTTACTAAGATAATTATAGATTCACTTGCAGTTATAACAGTAATACCAATGCATTCTTTACCCAGTTTCCTCCAATAGTGGCACTCTACAATACTATACTACAGTGTCACAACCAGGACTGACAATGATACAATCCAGTGATCTTATTCATATTTCCCCAATTTTACTTGTACTCATTTGTATGTATTAGTTCTATTAACATGCACATTAGTACACCTGCCACCAGAGTCAAATTTCTGAACAGTTACATCACAAAGATTCCCTGTGTTATCCTTTTATAACCACACCCATCCCTTTCCCTTTCCCTACTCCTAATCTCTGGCAACTACTAATCTGTTCTCCATTTTTAAAATTTTGTCATTTCAAAGTTTTTTGTTGTTGTTCTTTTTTAAGAGACAGGATCTCATTCTGTTACCCAGGCTGGGGTACACTGACATGATCATGACTCACTGCAGCCTCAAACTCCTGGGCTCAAGCAATCCTCCTGCCTCAGCCTCCTGAGTAGCTAGGACTACAAGCATACACCACCATGTCTGGCTAATAATTTAAAAAAAAATTTTTTTGTAGAGATGAGGTCCTGCTATGTTGTCTAGGTTCAAGCAATCCTCCTACCTCAACCTCCCAAAGTGCTGGGATTATAGGCATGAGTCACCACGCCTGGCCTCAGTCTTTTATCATTAAGTATGCTATCTGTGGAAGTTTTTTCGCAGATGTTCTTTATCAAGTTGAGGTAATTGTCTTTCATTGCTAACTTGCTGAGAGTTTTTATTATTAATGAGTGCTGGATCTTGTCACTTTTTTGCATCAACTGATACGATCATATGATTTTTCTTCTTTATTCTGTTGGTACGATGGCTTATACAGATGGATTTTCGAATGCTGAACACCATTTTTATGTCCTGGTTAAAACCTTTGATTTTACCATTTAAGAAGTTTAAGAAAAGTGAAAGTTCCACAAAAAGTCTAGTCCTTTAAGAAGTTTTATTGTGGCATGCGCCTGTAGTTCCAGCTACTTGGAAGGCTGAGGTGGAAGGATCACTGGAACCCAGCAAGTCGATGCTGGGGTGGCCATGAGCGTGCCACTGCACTCCAGCCTGGGCGACAAGAGTGAGACTCCAATTCAAGGAAAAAAAAAAAGGTTTTATTGTTAAAGAAGCATGTGAGGTAGGGCTCGGTGGCTCAGCCTGTAATCCCACACTTTGGGAGGCTGAGGTGAGTGGATTGCCTGAGCCCGTGGGTTCGAGACCTGCCTGGGCAACTTGGCAAGACCTCATCTCTACAATAAATCAAAAAATTAGCCGGGCATGGTAGCAGCTACTTGGAAGGCTGAGGCAGAAGGATCGTGGAGCCCAGCAGGTCAAGGCTGTGGTGGCCGGGAGTGTGCCATTGCACTCCAGTCTGGGCGACAGAGTGAACCTACAACTCAAAAAAAAAAAGAAGCTTGAGAGAGGGGAAAAAAAGAAGCAAACACATGGAATATAAAAGCTCCAGGAAGTTGGTTTCATTTTACTGACTTTTACAATGAAACATTCTAACCATCAATATATATTTATCAGGCAGGCCCAAGATCCTCTGGAAGTAAAAGACATGATTAATTTATGGTACTAACCTCTTGCCTCAAGAAAGGATTTTCTTTTTTGAGCTCTTCAGAAAGATCTTCTCCCTCTAGCCATTCCTTCATGCCAGTCTGTTCTGCCCAAGCATTCACAGTTGCTAGAGCAGCAGCTCGAACATTGTTCTAAATGAAGAAGAGAATTAACAACAGTTTGGAGGTAGGCGGTGAACATTGTTACTTTATGTACATCAACAATAGAGGCTTCCCTAAGGTCCACATGAATATACTTGAAACCTTGATCTCTGAAACAGAAACTAGTTCTATGACTGTATTAAAGTTCCAAAGTAAAAATAGAAATCCAAACTGTAAAATTTCTGTACTTAGTTAATAAGGTATAACAGTGACCTGGGCATAAAATGTTATGTAAGAAGAATAAACAGATTTCTGTTTCTTGAATCTTTGGGGGCACTTAAGCCCATGAATATCTGCTAAAGAATGGAATTCTACATGTTAAAAGATCTGATAATGGTTAAGACTGAAATTGCTAAACAAATTTGAACAAAATTCACGTTTATGTTTTTATATTAATTTGCATCAATGTTAAGATCACACAATTA